TGGATCCTTTCATTCAGTCTGGTGCTCGCATCATGGAAGGTGTTGGCACTTATATGGCTACCTCAGTTGGTGTTTACTCTTCATACGGCAAAACTCTCATGTCGTTGAACGAGGATCCTGAGATGACCCCCCTCCAGGCGAAGCTGAATGTCATCGCTACCTACATCGCTAAGCTCGGTAGTGCCGCTGGTCTCGTGCTCTTCATTGCTCTCTTCATCAAGTTCCTTGCCGGACTACCGGCTTCTGATGATACACCTGCTGAAAAAGGACAGCAATTCCTCAACATCTTCATTGTTGTCGTTACTATTATTGTGGTTGCTGTTCCTGAAGGATTGCCTCTTGCTGTTACCCTGGCCTTGGCTTTTGCGACAACCCGAATGCTTCGGGATGCCAACCTTGTGCGACACCTCAAGGCCTGTGAAGTCATGGGAAATGCCTCTACTATTTGCTCTGACAAGACTGGCACTTTGACCCAAAACAAGATGCAGGTTGTGTCGGGAACCATTGGAACAAGTCTCCGTTTTGGTGGCTCATCCTCGGGGGATGCCAGCGGTGCCTCTACCCCAGTGGATACTAGTGGTGATATTGGTATTTCTGAGTTTGCCAGGATGCTCAGCAAACCTGTGAAGGACCTTCTCCTCAAGTCTATTGCACTCAACTCCACCGCTTTCGAAGGAGAGGTAGATGGAGAAAAGACTTTCATTGGTTCCAAGACTGAAACTGCCCTACTCATTCTCGCCAAGTCTCATCTTGGCATGGGTCCCGTGAGCGAGGAACGTGAGAACGCCAAGGTTTTGCAGCTCATTCCTTTCGACTCTGGCCGCAAGTGCATGGGTATTGTTACTCAGGGCCCCAACGGCAGCGCACGTCTCTACATCAAGGGCGCCTCCGAAATCATCCTCTCCAAGTGTACTCAAGTACTTGGGGACCCAGCCAATGACGACTCTCTTGCTCCTATGTCTGATGATAATGTCCGCACTGTTCAGCAGCTCATCGAGAGCTATGCGAAAAGGTCGCTTCGAACCATTGGCATCTGCTACAAGGACTTCTCCTCATGGCCACCCAAGAATGCTGGCCGTGTCGATGGCGGTAACGAAGTTGTCTTTGATGATCTTTTCTCGGACATGGCTTTTATTGGCGTCGTCGGCATCCAAGATCCTCTTCGAGAAGGTGTCCCAGAAGCTGTCAAGCTCTGTCAGCAGGCTGGTGTTGTCGTTCGCATGGTTACCGGTGACAACAAGATCACCGCCGAGGCCATTGCAAAGGAGTGCGGCATCATTCAGCCTAACTCTATTGTTATGGAGGGACCTGAATTCCGCAACCTTTCTAAGCTGGAGCAAGAGGAGATCATTCCCCGCCTGCATGTTTTGGCACGGTCATCCCCTGAAGACAAGCGTATCCTTGTGAAGAGACTCAAGGACAAGAACGAGACAGTTGCTGTTACTGGTGACGGTACCAATGACGCTCCTGCTCTCAAGATGGCCGATGTCGGCTTCTCCATGGGTATCTCTGGTACTGAGGTCGCCAAGGAAGCTTCAGCCATTATTTTGATGGATGACAACTTCACCAGTATTGTCAAAGCTCTGAAATGGGGTCGTGCAGTCAATGATGCAGTTAAGCGATTCCTTCAGTTCCAGCTCACCGTCAACATCACTGCCGTCATCCTCACATTCGTTACAGCTGTCTCTAATAACGAAGAGTCATCTGTGCTGACTGCCGTGCAACTGCTCTGGGTCAACCTCATCATGGATACACTTGCTGCCCTCGCCCTCGCCACCGATCCTCCCCACGACAGTGTTCTGGACCGAAAGCCTGAGCCCAAGGGATCCAGTATTATATCTGTCACCATGTGGAAGATGATCCTTGGCCAGTCTATTTACCAACTCGTCATTACCTTTGTCCTCTACTACTACGGCCCAATTGTGACACTAAGCCCGAAACCGGAAAAAGAAGAAATCAAGACATTGGTTTTCAATACCTTTGTCTGGATGCAGATTTTCAACCAATGGAAGTAAGTGCCGCCTCTTGTAATTCAAATTGGATTTTCCTAACGCGTACAGTAACCGTCGCCTGGACAACAAGTTCAACATTTTCGAAGGCCTTACCAAGAACTGGTTCTTTATCGGCATCAGTGCTATCATGTGTGGTGGCCAGATCCTGATCATTTTCGTTGGCGGCGAAGCCTTTCAGATTGCTAAGAAGAAGCAGAGTGGCGAGCTCTGGGCCATGGCCATCGTTCTTGGCTTTCTGTCTATCCCAGTTGGCGTCATCATTCGCCTTATTCCTGACCATTTCCTCGAGGCTTTGATTCCCGAGTTCCTTAAGCAGCGTGCTAAGAAGGTACCCGGTCTTACAGTATCCGATGAAGAGATGAGCATGTACCCCGAGCCGTTGGCGGATGTCCGCGACGAGCTCAACTTCATACGGCGCATGAAGGGTGGGCGATTGAACAACCTCAAGTTTGCAATCCAGCATCCCAAGGAGGCGGTTGAGATGGTCAGGTCTAGAAGTCCGTCTCATTCTCGATCCAACTCCCTCAATGCACCGCAAACGCCAATCCAGGAGAATCCATTTGACGGGTCGCCGATTGGGACACCCAATTCAGGCAGGGGGCCTAGATCGACGAGGTCACGGTCTAATTCTGCGCTGGGAGCTCCTACGGTGATGGCAGGTATCGTGGCAGCAGGTGTAGCGGCTGGCTGGCAACCAAAGATGCGGCCAGACAATGACGGAGATCACAGTGACTCACCAAGGTAGTTGCGGAATGCGTGCGAGGTATTTTTTATTCTAGTATTGCTTTGGGTACCGATAGAACTGGTTAGCAAGGAATCAACATGAGAAGAGTTTGAGCGATTGAACAACAATAAATGGTCTTTGCAAAAATGAAATGACCGCTGGACTGAGCGAGTGAATGGAAAGAAAGCCAAGGTATCAATCATAATATAACTAAGATTTACGGATACTAACGTTAGACGGCAAGATCTACCTAACGAACTAATATGGTGGATGATTCAGTAGGTGGTCATGGATTCAAGACCAATCAACAAGAAGAATTACCTTACTCGAAGCTGACAGGATTGTAATATGTATTATGAGTAGGTACTCGGAAGACAAAGATATAATGGGATTGTATCAAGGATGCCGAGGCATCAACGAAGCAGGAGGGCCTAGTCAAGTTGAAGGTTCAGTGAGTGGGTGGTTGATAGGCAATATTGTAGCCGACCAATCAGCGAGAAAAGTGACAACCTGGCATGCCATGTTATGCAAGATGGACAGCCAGACAGTTGCGATACGTATACGAGAAAAGAGAAAAGAGAAAAGAGAGGAGATGGATTAATTTGATTTGATTTGAGTAGAATAGTCTGACATAAGATCCACGACAGGATAGAAATATCTTTCTATAAAGCCGTTTCTGTAGCAAAAAGCAAGTTGTCACTCTAGAATAAGGCATATATGGCCGCATTGCAATATCGGCAGCTGGCAGGCGGTCCAAGGCAGGAGAGGAACTATAGTTAAAAAGGCAAGGGAGTTATAGGAAAAGCCAAAGTGCGAAGGGGATAAGTCAACTTGGATGATACCTGGCGGTGGTTTTTTGGCCCAGATACTAAGTGTCTGCCACATGATGCGACATGTGTATGAGATGAGGAGATTGCAGGGACAGAAGAGAAGAGAAAAGAGAAGAGAAGAGAAGAGAAGGGGGGGATAAAGTGTATAATATGATTTTAGAATAGATGAGAGATACTTGGTAAGGTAGAGAAAAGTTCCTAATAGAACGTCAGTTGCTCAGGGTGTTTCTCGAGTTGCTTGTCAATCAATGCCTATTGTATTACACGGTATTTCGAGTACCTTTGAGTCGATGTATCACTTCTCCCCTCGGTAATTAATCACGTACCCCTGCACTCCAGTGCTTCCGCCATCATTACATTCCAACCACCGTATCTGAGATTCTTTTCCTCTCTTCCTCTCTTCCTCTTTTCCTTAACTTTTGTTCTTCTTCTTCTTCTTCTTCTTTATCTATCTAATGCAACTTTGTTTCCCCCCCTCTTTTAAATCGCGTTCTCTCCAAATATCATATTCTGCTTTGGGGGGGGGTTCTTGTTCCTCGACCAAGCTTGCTTTGTTTGCATAATAAACGAAAAAAGGCAACAAATAAAATAAAGTGAGAATAAAGGCGATATTACCGATATCGAATCAATTACTCACTCATATTTGATCTGGCTTGATCACGATATCGTGTGCCTGGATATCTTTCTACCAGTACTAAGAATAAGGCAGAGAGACTTGCTAAAGAAAGATTCTGTCACCTTCTTTGCTTATCTATATGTTGCCTTTCCTCTCACTTTTAGTTACCTTGTTCAACTGCAACAACTCATCCTCATACATGGTCACTCATCCTCCTCCTCCTCCTTTCCTCCCATTGCACGAAACTCGCTCAACCAAACGAAACGAAACCCACTTTCGGCAGATCAGCTTCTTCACTATCGCTCTCACTCAAGCTGAAACGATTCTCTCTTCACAATCACCCAACCCCTCGACAACTCAGCCATAAAATTCCCATTCTCAGTCAAGCTTGCTTTTGACCGAATTCTGCACACAATTTCTCATCTAGTCTACCACGGCAGCTAGGCGAGATATTCTTTTTTTACTTCCTTTTTCTTTCATAACCTTAGGTACCTTACCTTAGTTTTGGTAGTATCCAGAAGCCAAGTCAAGTCAAGTCAAGTCAAGCCAAGCCAAGCCAACCAAAGCAGAGCAGACCGTCTGCATGGCTCGGTTCTCGATCTGGGGTTAATAATAGATGCCACCCTCGTCTTTCTGACCCGCTTTCTTCCTTTCCCTTAAACATTTGCATTTACAACGCTTTTCCATAGGACATCGTCAAACCAGCCTCTGATATTTCACCACTGTCAACTGTTCGCAAACCCTAATATCTATCCCCTTCTCCTCACTTCACTTCGTTTCTCGTCTCTTTCCTTGTACAAAATCTCATCCTCTCCACCATGAACACAAAAAAAGGCAACGGGAGAACTGTTGCTCTCTCAAAGCGAAAGGCTCAACCACACGCTCTCGAAAAGTTGGGTGACAACCCAACAGAAGACGAGATCAAAATTGCAGAGGCCAACGTTGCACTCGCTGAACTTGAGGAGAGAGTGGCCGATGTCAGAGAATCGTGGGAGACAGACTCTTTGTTTGAAGATGCTTTTGATGAGTTGAACGCTGATAATACCGTGGCCGTTGATGGTGAGTTTATCTAGTCATGCCCTATCCTATCCTATTCTATCTTGAGATCGCTCCAGTCTATGCACTCTACTCCAAGATTGCTAACCGTATTCTCCAAAAAAAAAAAAAAGACCCCAAAGTGTGCACACCTGAAGAAGCTAGCAGACTTCGTCGGGAGCTCCGAGAATATGGTCCAACCGTCTTTTGTCAACGCACTGTTGATGCTGGTCACTATACCGCCAGAAAGCTCCTCAGCGCCTTTGGCATCCGTCCTCCTCCCTTCCTGGAGGGTCAGCCTGATGATGCCTATTTCAGTTTACTGTCGCTCGCCATTACGCGTGAACTGTCTAAACGCGCCAAGCTTCTGCGTCACAACACGGTTGACGATGCTGTTGACCTGATCACTAAGAGCAACAACATCATCCTCATCACTGGTGCTGGTATCTCTACATCGCTGGGCATTCCTGACTTCCGTTCTAAAGGAACTGGTCTGTACTCCAAGTTGGAGCACCTTGGTCTTAGTGATCCCCAAGAGGTTTTCGACATTAGTGTCTTCCGACAGGATCCCACCATTTTCTACTCGGTGGCCAAAGACATTTTGCCGAGCACGGACCGATATACGCCCACTCACAAGTTCATTGCCATGCTCCACGAGAAGGGCAAGCTCTTGACCAACTACTCTCAGAATATCGACAACCTCGAAGTCAAAGCCGGTGTTCCCAAGGACAAGCTCATCCAATGCCACGGCTCCTTCGGAACCGCCACATGTGTTCAGTGCGGTTACAAATGCCCAGGAGAGGCCATCTTCCCCGAGATCAAGGCTGACAAGATTCCTCGATGCCCGCGTTGCGTCCAGACTCTGCGCACCACTGGCGGTGCGCCCAAGCGTAAGCGGTCTGCGGGCACAGAGAAAAAGCGAAGACGGTGGAGTGCCGACAGTTCCGACGAGTCTGAGTATGACATCCCCAGTGCTGGTGTCATGAAGCCCGATATCACGTTCTTCGGCGAGGCTCTTCCTGATGAGTTCTCTCGACGACTCACCGAGCACGATCGTGACAAGGTAGATCTCGTCATCGTTATTGGCACTTCTCTCAAGGTTACGCCTGTATCTGAGATCGTGTCTTGGCTCCCCGCCAATATTCCTCAGATTTACGTATCTCGCCAGGCTGTTAATCACATCAATTTTGACATTGATCTCCTAGGAGATTGCGACGTTGTTGTCTCTGAACTATGCCGCCGTCTGGGTTGGCCAATGGTGCATGAGATGGTTCCCAAAAATCAAAAGGTCGAAGTCCGTACTGAGCCTGGCTTTAAGAGTCGCCACGTTTTTGAGGAGCAGAAGGCCAAGAAGTGAGAGCAACTGATTGAATAATTTCGAAGGAAGACATGAAGACACTGCATTTGTGCGTTATTATAAAAGATTTTACTTTCTGTGCTGCAAGCGGATGGCATGGCGTCTGGAGGATCGGATACAATGCCAACAAAAAATGGATGGATATGGACGGAGTAAGGGTGCTTACAGAACTGACTGTCTGTTCTTTTCTTATATGTCAGAGTTTGACTGTTTTTTGAAACAACTTTCCTCTTAACTGAGATGTGCGTTTCTCATCCCTGCACCTGTCTCGATCTCTTTCCCAGCGACATTTACATACAAAAGACAAACTCGTGAGCTTCAATATCCTGGAGCAGGACTAATTTACTGACACCCCCAAAACTTGGAGTGAGGAAAAGCGTTTGGTGGAGATGTTGGATTGAGCGAGAGACAGGACATTGGGACTATGTATTAGAGCGCACGTATATACATCGTATTACAGAAATTGAAGATTTACGACCAAACCACTAGTCCGATGGTGTATCTGTGCCTTGAACTCAAAAGGTCCGTTTTGTAACATTGATTCCGTTGGTAATACATCCATGCGATCGGGTGCGATAGTTCACACCCGGCAACTGATTATCACACATGTTCCGAAACTGAACATTTTCACAACAAGAGATGACATCAAAGATTGCGAGTCCAGGCAGGCTCTTAGCATTTCTTCACGGCATAGAATTCTAGTCAAGCAGATGCATTTTTTAACCACTTTTGAGTGTCATCATAAAAACTCGCCTATAGTAATAGTATGTGCTGTTTCTATCCCAAGAGTAGTCTTGACAGTCACCGAGTGACCATGGGGCTGTAACTATGCCCATGCCGCACTAGTCAATTATCCGTAGGTGTACGGCAAAGCCAAATCTATATCCAGCCGTTTACTAAATGCTGTCTTATAATACTGTCATAGATATCAAGCCTAAATCAGACTCTCATATTTATCCAATCCTGACTTTTGCCCCGTATTGTTCTGCGTTGTGTGCTGTGTTGTGTTGCTCATCGAACTCATACCACTCCAGTTTGTTGTTGGTGGTGGGGGCATTGTGAATGATGAGGGCGTAGTAGATGTGTTGCCTGGTGGCGGCGGAAGTGTAAATGACGGTTGCCTTGATGTTGAGTTGAGAGACATGTTTGCCACCGAGGAGCCCATGGTGCCGGTAGACGCACTAGTACCGAATCCAGAGGAGCTTCCCCATGGGCTTGGTGTAGCCTTGGCAGCTGCAGACCAGTTGATAGATGACCCGGATGTCGAAGCAGTCAAAGGCTGCTGTGGAGCCATCGGTTGTTGCTGAAGTTGAGCTGGAGGTTGGAAGGGTTGGCTCGGTGTGGGTTGTAGTGGTTGACTGAACTGAGTAGATGACGGTGTGAGAGCCTCGAAACGGCCGAGATCCGGTGTTACGGTTCTGAAAGACGGAGCATTCTGAGCTGGAGGTTTGAGTGCAGGGTTATTCGCAGGTGGAGGAGGTGTCGACCATGAGAATGTAGGCGCAGGCGTACTCGATTTTGACTTGGCTGGGTCATCCCAACTGGGGGTTGCTGTGCTCGACCTAGGACTACCCATGCGTCCCTTGACGAGATTCTCGAAATCGTCTTTTGTAGCTCCATTGTTCTGATCAAAAGTTGTACCGGTAACACCACCAAAGGCCATAAAATCTTCGCTTGGGGCAGCAGCGCCGTTGGAAGGGCCGCCAAGTTCTTGGAGTTTTCTTGTCTGCTCGTCCTCAACTCTTCGAGACAAACTCTTTATAAGCTCCATGAAACCCTGGAACTGCTTCAAGTTGAGCAGTGGACCTAAACTCATGCTCCAGAGAATGGGCAGGATTTCCATTGCCACAAATTCGGCATCAGCTACTGAGCCCACGACCCGTAGTACGTTGAGGGCTGCCATCATAACGGCAGGTTCCTTCGTCTTGATCACTCTGATGAGTGGGACAATCTTTTCCTGCATGGTGTATTTGTCCAAGGCACTTGAAGATGACGTCTTCTTGTTTTCCAGGCCATTGAGCCCGTCGTCTCCGCCGTTATCGTTTGTTCCGCCACAAAGTATTACAAAGGCTCGCAGTCCGCGGACTTTGATGGCAAGACTGTTCGTCTTACTAAAAACTGCGGCAATGACTGGGAACAGTTCATTTTTTATTGTGCTAAAATCGAGCACCGGCAGTACGACAGGCAGACTGCGGAGAGCAGCATCAACAATTGAGTGTGTTGGGCACTCAATTGCTGCCATTATGACCGGGAGCATGTCTGAGGAAGTTAGCACCATGTAAAATCAGCTCTGCTTGATCAAACTTACCGTCTTTAAATTCCTTCCCAGAGCAGTTGCTGGAAATGGATGAGATATGTTCAAGAACAACCATAAGACCAGCGTCCCTGGCTGGATCTTTCTCTTGTGTCTGCTTGGCGTTGACTACAAAGATTTCTCTCAATGCTGGACGGACCTTCTCACTGAACGCCCTCTTGGCAGACGGTAAGAGATCGAGGATCTTAAAGACGTTTTGCAGGATGAGTGAGAGAAGATCTCGATCTTTGAGCTCCTCTATCAATGCCGGGAGAATCTTCTTCTCCATGACAGATTTGGGAAACGAGGGTAGCACCTTGTTAAGACCTCGCATGAAAGAAGCCTTTTCGTTTGCAGTCTTGGCGGGGAATGAATCAAGAAACCGGATAGTCGACACAAGAATGTTATCGAAATACTCGCTCTGTTGAAACTCACGTGCCGTCATTCGCTGAGCAGGCCGTCTTGTGATGAGTCGAGGCAGGACATCATGCGAAAGTTCTCTAGGGAGAGGCCGTGATGAAAGATAGTTATTACTGGCAGATGGAACGCTAGAAGATGAAGAAAATAGTCGCTTATATGTAGACAAACTGCCGTGGCATTCCAGAGGAGACCTGTGGGGTGAGTTGTATAGGGCGACTGACATGAGTCCCAGGGAGAACATGTCTGCAGAAGAGTTGAGGTTGTTATCGACTACAAAGTCGGGTGAAGAATAGTCGAGGTTGAGTTGCACTGCCTTTGGGAGTCGAGGATCCATATTGAGGACTTCATACAAGTTAATGCCTTGTATAGATGTTGGCTTGTCAGACCCCTCAGGGGGGCTAGCAAATGCTAGCCCACTGATCTTCCAATCGGACTGTGACATGTTAGTCGAGTTTCTATGATTGACTTTAGAGCGCATGCCTTTGCGTTGATGAGAACTGCGTCCGGAGTAAGGTTGCCATGGACGATACCGGCATTTTCATGTAAGAATTCGAGAGCCTTGCTGACTTGGAGCAAGCCCTTTTGGATCTCCAACTCATCGATCTCGAGCTCTCTTCGTCTCTTTGTCCCGTCTGCATCCTCTGTCACGTATCGGCTCGATCTTCCACCGGGTCCTCCAGCTCGTTCCTGTTCGTCTTTCTCCTGCAGTAAACTGGACAATGAAGCTGTAACGGACTCTGTCACGAACTGTAAACCTCCGCCTCTTGTCTCCTCCACTGGTTCCACCAGCTCGAGGATGTTGGGATGCCTGAGCTTCGCAAGACTCGACGCTTCCTTCTTCAATCGCTCGACAACTTCCTCGACCGTCTTCTTGAACGAGGCCGCACCAGAGCGGCCCAGCGAGCTGCCGTGGGTGTCTAATGACTTCCGGTCAAAGACAAAGACACTGTATGGTTTGCCGGTAGACTTCTTCTTTGCATCGTATATCTTCCAGGGGCCAGCCGTCGAAGTCGGTGCTGAAGAGATGGAGTAGTTGCCTGTGATGTTGGTGGCAGAGATGGACTTAAAGGCCGAGGAGAACATGGTGACAGCTCTCCATGGATCGTAAACGTTAGGTCGAACTTAAAAGGGGTCGCAAGTCGCAAGTCGCAAGTCGCAAGTGCTGCGCTTAGCCGCCGCTGTTGTTGTTGGAGGCTCACAATGCGAGATTCTTTGGTGATGACGAATAATACAAGGGTCGAGGATCGCTTCGCTTGGGCCGCAATAGGATTGGGAATGGAAATGACGTTGGTCGCGATGCGCATTCTCCATGTGTAGGGGTGGCCTCGCGTTGACAAATAACCCACGTATCCTTACCATCAGGGAGCCAAGCCTGGGTGCCCCGCGATAAGCTGATAACGCCTCCACTGGCTAGGTACCTAGCCTGGTAGCCTGGGCAGCTCCAGCTGCTGAATGTCAGATCAGTCCCCCCATTGAACCCCTGTATAACTAACTTGATAGGGCGTCGACAGCTGCGTTTACGGAACTTTAAGTGACTTTTCCAGGCGACTCATCTACGGCCCAATGCGGCTGTGGACGCCTGGAGGCGGCTGTCCCTGTAAAGTACCTCGGGCTCACTTTGCAGCGAGTTGGTCAATTTACAATCTTTCTATCATCGACCTCCGATACAACTCCGACCATAGAGAATTGCCCCTAGTACTTAAGTTAATATCCCACCTAGTCTCGACACCGAACGTTATTGCTCCCCATCTTTAAACCTTTACCTTTTTGTTCTTCAGTTTGTGTTGAATATATAATTTCGCCAATTCAACATTGTATTGTCAATTGACCTCACAAACGCATCAATGATGAGACCGTTGCTCGTCCGCTCCGCTTTACGGAGCGCTCGCATGTCGAGCTTGAGACCGCTGTGCCATGCGCACCGGTTTAGCATCAAGGCCGAGGCTGCCTCTACCATCAAGCCTCTAGGCTTGGATGCTTCAAAACTCAGCATTGAGAAGACGGGGAAGCCAAAGGGCCTCAGCAAGCCCGAGGACCTCGTCTTTGGAAGGGAATTCACAGGTAAACGAACCCCCACCAGATGCGCCCTGCACAAAAGCTAAAACTTTGCCAGACCACATGCTTGCGATCGAATGGAATCAAGACGAAGGATGGTTGGAGCCCAAGATCACACCCTACCAGAACCTCTCACTCGACCCTGCGACATGTGTCTTCCACTATGCCTTTGAGTGTTTCGAGGGTATGAAGGCGTACAAGGACAAGGACGGCAAAGTTCGACTCTTCCGAC